AAGGGGTTCTTCCCTACGCTTGACTCACGCTGATAATGAATCTCAATTGTGCGACTATGAGTGTGTCACTCGTTTTGCATTTTTAGTGCACTGCTTTTATAATGCAAATATGAAACCAATCACACACGCGCACACACAGACAAGAAAAACTGTTGTTAATGTGTGACCGTGCACAGATGGAGTCAAGTCAGGGGCAAATAACTCTGAAAGCAGTTTACGGCTGCAGTTTAGACCCGATTTCATCCTAATCCCAATTGGAAAAAAACAGAGATCAGAGTTCAGAGTTCAGAATATCCATTCAAAAAGCTATTAACCTCAAAATTTAATTCAGTTTAAATTTCAAAAATGGGCTCATATTTAAAACCAGGAGCTTTGAATCTTTACCTCCCACTCAGACTCAGCCAATTCAGGGACCCCCAGTATAAAAAAGGCACATTTTATCAGTAACATTTTATAATAACTTTCACTAAGAACATTAACTAACATTATAGAATCATTACTTAGAAAGTTATAATAGTTAATAGTTAGAACATATGTCGTGAGAATTTAAGTTCTCTCTCTCTCTCTCTCTATATATATAGGCCTATTGAAAACTCAGGATTTAGACTTTAGTCAATTTTTAACTGTTCCTTAAAACAACAACAAAAAAGTTCTGAAGCCACAAATCCCTCAATAAAACAATTAAAGAAGCGTTGTGATGACCCTTCGTGAGTCCAAGCACAATAATGGCCATCAGTTTCCTGTTTTCTCATAATGACTGACTTACTCACGCAAGAGTCAGAGGCCATTCTGATGGGAAACGAGCCCATAGTAATGGGAACATTACTATCACACAAATTTCAGAGAGAAAAACAAATGTGCTTTGAATTGAAGGCAAGACTTAAATCCACAACATTATATTCTTTCGAAGAAAAAAAAAAAGTCTGACGTCAAAAGAGAACCTTTTTAACTTACACACAAAGACCTTTTTATTATATAGTTCTAACCATCTATACTCTGGTGCTTTAAAGAACCCAGAAACAGAAATATAATTTATGAACCATACAGTCAACTCAAACCAGAATAGTTTTCAAATTTGGTCTAAATCACTCAGTAAGGACTTTACATACTTTGGTAGAATATATTTGTTAGGTTGTTTTTTTCTTGCATAACAGGGTTAAATAGTCACAATTTGAGTAAAAACTGAAAAAAGGGGCAAGATAAATGATTTGTCTCTCTGCCATGATGTAGAAAGTGTCCAAATGACATTAATTCTTAAGAGTTAATGGAATGTTTTATTATTTTTTATATAACAGGGTTACACACAAACATCCAAACTTTACAGTATACATATAAATTTGTTAATTTTAAATAATTTTACTATAATGACATATGATCTATTAGAATTTACATAACATCTTATAGATCTCACAGCAGAAAATTTGGAATTGGAGGTCAATGTATATATTATACAAAAATGGTTGTTGATAGCAAGAGGGTTCTTTGTAGCTGACACAACTGCAAAAAAACACTCAAGAACCTTTAGGAATGCGTAACCCTCAAAACCGGCTTCTAATCTCTCCTATTCAGCTTCTATGAAAACATCAAGCAATGTCGGATTTAGCTTAAAGACATTGTACAATTACTGACTGATAATAAAGTATTAATAGTACAATAAATATCTACGATTGAAATCGAAGATTCAAAGTTATGTAAGTATTAAATACAAGAGAGACATCACTCCCTTTTAAAAAAAAAAAATTCACTGCAAAAACATCACAAATCTCAAAACCACGAAACATACAAGTCACGAAGATTCTCGTGACTTCATTCAAGCCCATTTCATTTCAGCTGCAGGCCGTGATCGTGAGGTCCCACCACACCCTTCAGAGCCTATTTTAAGATTCTCAGAACTAAAAATAACTATTAATTCTGTTTCTTTAGTAGAGGGAGCATCAGGAAGGCTGAACGTGGGCACCCGGGTTTGATAAGATCACTCACGGATGCGTCACCCTCCCTCTGATTGGATAATGAATCATACATAGAGAGTGAAATGTGCGGGAAAGCCCCGCAGTGAAACACAGTGGAGGTTCTATTCAGCGTGAGATTGAGCCCCGGAGACAGACATCTAGGGGCCGAGGACACCACACAGTGCTGGAGAGTAAGGGGTCATCATCCACCACCCACTCGCAGGGTGAGGTTTCACTCACTCTCACACACACACACACACACTTCCAGTCAGTCCCCCCGCTCTCACAACCACCCCAGAGTCCTCATCTGGCTCTGCATCAGATGAAAAATAAAGAGGGGAGAGATGAATAGAAAGAAAAAGATGAGGGAACAACATGACCCCACAGGAATATACACATCATGTCTGCTGTATGACAGTCCATGAGAAAACGAAGGGCGAAAGAATTTAAGATGATGAAGACCAGGGCAAGTTTCACAGATGGAACTGTCACAATGGCTGTATCTTGCTAAATGTAAGGCTTTAAATCACAGATTAAACCATAATGTCCAATGGTTTTGTATGCTGGTTTCAAACACCTATGTCCTAAAATTGGATAATTTATAAATGATGAAAAATTTGTGAACTAAAATTCCAATATCATATATTTGTTATACACTGATAGAAAAAGTCAAAAAAGCTGCCATGGCCAGTACAAAAAGTACAAAATTGGACCATTTAGGTAATAATATACACCCCTTAGGGACAAATAAGTTACAGAAGTGTACCTTTTGAAAAGGTACTGCCCCAGTGAAAGCTTTTGTACCTTTTTTTCCCCTGCAGTGTAGCTGCTAGTGAATATAAACATATAACGTAGATTTTAAACAAAAGTTTAAATAGGTAAGTTTAAAAAAAATTAAAGTGTATTAATTTCAGTAATGACACTTTTTCATTGTTGATATATATACACACACACATATACACACACACACACACATATATATATATATATATATATATATACGTGTGTGTGTGTGTGTGTGTGTGTGAGATCAAAAATACAGTAAAACCGTTATATTCTGAAATATTACAATTTAACGGTTTTCCATTTGAATATATTTCAAGCTGAATTTTCAGTCTTTGTTGATGTGGAAAAATCAAAACAAGACAATCAAGCACAAGTCAGGAGAAATACATTTAAGACACAAGAATTAAATGTCAACAATGCCTCTCTTTGCCCACATTGTTTTTGTTTTTTTTTAAGACAAAGACACGGACCCCCAACAATGCCTGGCCTTCTCCTCTGGTCTTCTTCTCATACAACACTCATCCTTTTACTCATCTGTCTGGGTCTGCTCTCGCCATGTCCCAGGAAGTGACATAATACCCCAGCCATCCCCACTGTCTGCAGCCGCAGCGCTGGCTTCTCATTGGCCTGTCACGAGCCCACAGTGGTTCAACCCAGACCTCCACGAGCCTGGGGTTGCTGAGTTCAGTCGGTCTTGTGGAAGTAGATGCTAAACAACAGCAAACAACAACGTCATAAGGGACCAGCCTTAGGACACAAAATATCAAACACACTGCTCAGAATGTTTGTGATGGGCCTCAAAAAAGAATAAAGGTGTACTTACAAAATATGCATCTTACATGCGAAGTTTTGGAGGGAAAATAAGAGATTAAATACTTTTGATAAGTAACTAGTTTGCAGTAGTATCTTAAAAGCTGTTTATTTATTCAAATTGTTAACCACTTGAGAAAATCTTTAAAAACTAGTAGAAAACCTCACCAAGGGGTTTCTAACATTTAAGGATATTACAAGGTAAAATGAGAAGTTTTAACTGACTCAGCTGTTTTAAGTGGTCATCAACACTTCCTCTGTTGGATGGTAAATCTTAAATCTGAAAAACGTTTACTTGTGTTAATACTCACAAGTAAAGGATTCTTAGCAGCTTCACACATAAGCCAATTTAAGATGTGAATCAGATGCCATCTAATGGATTCTCCAAACTGAGTGATTTTGTGTCTGTCTGAGTGGTTTTGTGAAGTCACAGAGCACATAAAATGTGTGCATGGCGTCCTCTACTGATCAGACTTGATATAGACAATCTCCGAAAGTCTATTCATCCTAAATGAGTTTCTTTTTGAACTTTTTGAATGAATTCCCCCTTTTGTCCAACACAATATAACATATTTCTTGTATTTCTGCTAATTGATAAAACTATAGTAAAACTATAGTATTCAGTAAAAACAATAATTACTACCAAAGGTAGAAAAAAAAATGTAATCTAAGATTACATCTTGAGTTTGTGCTTTAGGTTTAATTTAAATTTAGAATAATTTATTCATTTAAATACTTAAAATAAGTCCTTAATAAACCCTGTCCTAGATTTAGGTTTACCAGCTTGTCATTTTTAAATGTACATTAGATAAAATAGTTCTTCTGTAACAAATAATACAAGATTGCTTATAATTTAAGTTCTTCTTAACCGTCTTAAATTACTGTTCTAGACCACAAAGCATCGGTTACTTTTAGTCTAATCCGTATATTTCATAATTTAAAACAACTCTCTTGTTATGAACATTTAGCATTTTTCATGTTTCTTTAAAATAAATACCACTTGAATTTATATTTTGTTCTACTTTGCTATTTTGTCTGATATGAAATTCTCTAATACTTTTTGGGCCAGAGCATCCCTGTTCATTCACATTAGACATCCAAAAACACTTGAATTATCTTCAGAAACTGGAGCATGAGATGTTTATATTAGTAAAAAGCTGGTTTTGTGCACCATCTAGTGACAAGAGAGGATTCTACACATGCTACATTTGCACACACAGCAAAAGCCTATATTGATTTCGGAATGCTCAAACCTTGAATTCATAATCAGATATTCAGGACTAAGTGTGTTTGTTGTAACACTGAAAATGATTTTATTTGGAACATAGTTACACTCTGATGTCATAACACTGGAATTCACATATACAAATGCATATTTTCACACACCCTCCCCCACCCAATTCACTCCTTAACACTTTCTTTTTAGCAGGTGACAGACGGCCACACCAGCCCATCCTGAGGTGTGACAGCCATCCCACCCGCTGAGCTGAGAGTGAATTCACCACCATCAGCTATTAGACTTGTTTTACCTGTAGTCAGCTGAGCACAGACGCATGATACTGGTATGTCGAGAGAATGTTGTTCTTAGGCTTGAGTACTGACAATATGGCAAAACACTTCTCGTGAAGATCAACACCTTCAACCAGAATGTGAAGCATCATCACAATTATCAAAAATTATAGATGATTCACAGATAGTTCATGGCTTTTTATGTTTCCTTAGAAAAGAGTAGTGTCTCCTTATTTAGATCTGCTTTATCTCCTCTGAGGTAGTTCCTTAGAATTCACAAAGTGAAATCTACTAATCTTCAGATATCAGGGAAGGAGTTAGAAAGCTCCCTCAGTTTGTGAGTTGTTTCAGTGGATGAGGGATTGTTTTCCTCTAGCACATATGCGAGTAGGTTACCCACAATAAGTCGAAGACAGTCCCGAAGTTCCCTCAAGTCTCTGTCTGAGTGAGAACCACTTTCTGCAATAGCCATTCTCAGGCATATGTTCTTCAGGTCAACACTGTCCTGAAAAGAGATTACACAAATATGGCTAATTAAAAAAAGAGTTTCAAGTGCGCACATCCAACAGGCCAGAAGCTCAATCCGGGTGTTCAACCACAGAGTTGCATAAAGAAAGATCAAAGTTGGCACTGCACAGCTCCAAAAGTATAAAAATATTTATTAATGTTCTCAACACACTAGCACATATGCGAGTAGGTTACCCACAATAAGTCGAAGACAGTCCCGAAGTTCCCTCAAGTCTCTGTCTGAGTGAGAACCACTTTCTGCAATAGCCATTCTCAGGCATATGTTCTTCAGGTCAACACTGTCCTGAAAAGAGATTACACAAATATGGCTAATTAAAAAAAGAGTTTCAAGTGCGCACATCCAACAGGCCAGAAGCTCAATGCGGGTGTTCAACCACAGAGTTGCATAAAGAAAGATCAAAGTTGGCACTGCACATTAATAAAAAAATATTTATTAATGTTCTCAACACAGGTGACGTTTCGAACCTAAAAGCTCTTCATAAGACTGATGAAGAGCTTTTAGGCTCAAAACGTCACCTGTGGTGAGAACAAATATTTTTATAATTTTGGAGCTGTGCTGTGCCAACTTTGATCTTCTTTTAATTAAAACAGAGCTCATAAATAAAATCACACGCAAACAAGGGCAAATGAGTTTAGCATCCACATACAGAACCGGACAAATGTTTGGGGACACTTCACTAAATATTTATTTTAATAAATTATTATTTTGTGTGCGTATATATTGATATATGGTTATAGATATGAATGGTTAAATCAAACTGGTTAGGAAAAAGCAGACAACACAAAAGAGTTATGTTCCTATTGTTTACAAAGCATCCCAGGACGCACCTGCAGAGCTGGTATCTAGACAAAAGAGTGGCTACTTTGAAGCTATATATATATATATATAAAAAATAGATACATAAAAATTAAACACAAATGACACATTAATTATAAATTAATTAATGTACTCAGTTTAATAATTTATATTACATTGAAATTATTTTTTATTAATTTTCTAATGTATAAAATCTTGTGCATTTGTATATAATATTAAAACACAACTAAAAAATAAATAAATAATATATATATTTTTTTTTTTTTCATTTGACATCTAATTCCCATACTTACATTTGCGTTATTCGATAGTTTAAATCGCTTTTCCTATTAGACTAAAATGCTATTATATACAGTACAAATCCAACATAGGGTAATAAACGTGATAATTTCACAACTGAGACGTTACCGCACAAAAGCTATCAAAAACAACTTACCTTACGTTTAAGCAATCTCATTCCGTAAGACGCGTCTTTAATAAAGTCTTCCTCTATAGAAATGAGGCGCGTGAGAATCTCGAGCAGTCGCGTGAGGCAGCTCTCTCGCGCTCTCTCCGTGATCGTCTTCAGTCTGCGGGGCTCCTTCGTCAGATCGCCCGGACGAACGGCTTCTTTGCCGGCCGGTAAAGCACCTGAACACTGACCCTCGCCATCTCTATTACTGGTCGTCGCGTGAGCTTGCAGTTCATTGAGGATGTTTAAAGCGTCGATCTGATGTGTTAAAGAGCAGAGCCCCATGTCTGCTGCCACCTGGTCAAGGACAGATCGGCAGCCTTGAGCAGAGTCACTGCTGAGAAAGAGAGAGAGAGAGAGAGAGAGAGAGACGAGGTTCTGGTCGAAACAACGCGACAAACGACCGGTTTTAAGTGTTTTTTCGCTTGGACAAATGGTTTCTTTAACGACGTCCCCATTGTTTGTGTTTGGAATGGATGACCGCTTGCTTACACATGCAAATGTGAACCTGATAGTCCTGCCTCCTCTATCGAGGTGCTCAGAAAAAGCAGTTAACTGAGATGTTAAAACGTTTTGAATAAACACAAAAAACAGAAACAGTTAGCATTTTAAAGCTTTAATTTATAATTTACTCTATTGGGGGAAAAAATTAAGCCTAAACCAAGTTTGCTGCCAGATCAAGCAGGTTTTCAGAGCCACCCCTCAAATCCAAAGAGATATTCTTTATAAAAGTTAAGACTTGTCCACGCCCCCCTAAAACGGCTTGTTTAAACACGCCCCCCCACATGTCTATGTCACCATGTGGGAAGATTTGCATAACACCGCCCAAATGTTCACGCAAAGAAAGAAGGCGTAACTTTTATTAAACCGCATAAACGCATTTCATTACACCAAATACACAAAATAATGTTATTTTTAGCAACATCATATGACCCCTTTAATAATGTAGTGGCTCTTGATACTGCTGTTTTTTTTCTATTCTGCAAAAGCAAAATAACAGAAAAAAGAAAAACAGATGACCTCATGCGACCCATGTCACACGATTCTGGAGAAGAGATCACAGCTGACACTCTCTAAACAGGCAGTGCTTGCATTTCGCAACACAAATACTCAAAATATGAGATTTGAAACATTTCGTTTGATGGAAAGTGTCAAAAGTTTAAACACACTTACTCATTATTACTATTATCTTCATTTACTAAGTCATCAAATTTGTTTTTAAATAAGTTAAGTTTTTCAAAACTTCAGGCATTTAAGCATATGCCCTCAGATCATAAGGATTTTATAAGATGTAAATTCAAAACATTTTACTGTTGGTTTATATATACTTGTCTACCAACCTATTCCAGTTATTAATAAGTGAACCACTTTTTCTTTCTTTCAGTTCTATTCATTACAAGGGGTTATCAGTTAATGCATCTTTCATTATAATAATATATAAAAAAGGCCGTTCCTATAGTCTACCTGGTTATTCATTGAATGAAATGAAACAACTCCTGTTCCAATCATACACTGAATGCTTTAATTGATCTGAAAGAAAATACAAAAAAAATATTGTGATTTTAACAGACTAAATTTTTAGTTCTACTCCGTCTCCGTTCACATACAGCTTTTTTGGATTTGAACGCAAGTCAGACACACTCTCAGTAACATTTAGCATCTATCCAAAGCCCACCACTTGGTCTGTGCTCTAATAACTCAATCTTGTCTGTCCTATACTTCAGTATACAGTAGCAACATTTATTAAAAGCAGTGGGAATTCCGGCCCCAGATCAGGTGTCACGTTCATAACAGCATTAGAGTACAAGAACTGATCTTGGCTCAGAGTCCCACCCTGTCTGAACTACTGGTCTTAACTACAAACCCAGATCAGCAAGCGTACTCTGAAACGTCACCAATACATTACATGGATTTTTTTCTTTCAACAGTATTATCTCCTAAAAATAAAAACTTTGCTGTGGGAATCACTGTTTTTTTGTGAAATTGATCAATTCAGTCTCTCAGAAATAACTTGTGAAAATAAAAATACATTAACTCAATATTCCTTCAACCAGGTTATGGTAAAGTGTCAACCTTGTACAATGATATTTTAGCTTAATGAACTTTGGTCTTTGACCCAAATTCTAAACCTCACACCTGCTACACTTGTGTCATGCAGATCTTCCACAGATCTTGCAAACTCCAGATCTTCCAAACCCATGTCACTGCATCCGAAGCTCTTTCGGACGAAAAGTATCTGTGATCCACACATGATTTGAGGGTCAGCAAACCTGCACAACATGTGAGAATCACAACCAGACGGGACTGCCCAAGCGCACACCAAACAAAACCGCACTGTTCTGTTCCGTTAAGGCTTGCGTGGGTCGTTTCCTGTTTCACCATGAAAACGTACCAAGTTGCACATTAAAACAGTGGGTGACAAAAATTGAGAGATTAATTTAAATGAAGTACAAAGGCGCTGCGAATTCAGATGGATTTGGGTCAAGAAGAATCTTCTAGAGTTTATTTACAGACCATCAGTGTCATTAGTTCACACTAAACAGGTTTCACAATCTTTCTTTATTGACAGAACTGATAGTTTAGTTCTTGGTCATTCAGCTACTCTCAGAATCTCACTCTTTAACCCCTTTATTTCATTAGTTACACATGGCTAGAGAGGTTGGGCAACTGAATTATTGTCCATAGGCTTTAAATTTTTTGACAAAACTGCAGACTAACTAAAGAGATGCTCTAGGTGAATTGGTAGAAAACACGTATCGCTTATTCAGCATAGCCAGTAACACAATGGCGACATAGTGGGTTAAGACACCATTGCGAAAAGGTCTCAAAAATGGGAGTAAAGTTACAGAAGACATGCCTTTCCTTAGAAATCCTGCTCAATCCATTTCAATTACTGTCAAGTTGGTCACACTGAACAGTTTTCAGCAACGCCACTCCAGCTGCAATAGACCAAAGATCAACAACAGTTCATTTGTTGGGTGGGGGCCGTGTCGTGACCATCATCGCTGATCGGCTGGGCTGTTTGTCTTCCTCAACTGCAGCATGCTCTGCCGGCCCGTGATGTGAAATTCTGATCGTAGAAAATCAGTTTAAGTGACTCAGTGTGGTTTTGGGTGAAGATCCAAAGAGGAATGTTGTGAAGAAACGGCTACTAATTTTGTAGGTGCAGAGAAGGAAGTGTTACAAAGCACTTCCAGAGATGATAAATATGAATGGAGAAATGTGGGGAAATGGGCGGGCCTTATGATGTGAAAGGGCGGGGCTAAACAGGAGGGACAAGTCACTGATAAGGTGATTAGTACCAGTTGTTAGTCTCTCTAGCTCATCTCATTTTTCTCCGCTGGAGAAGACGAGCGTTTCGTCATCGATCCACAGCTGACGAGTGTTTCTTCTCCTCTATTTCCCATTTAGTTGGTTCATAAAAATTATCATAATGTTTATAGACTAGCGTATTAAGTTAAATCTATAGTTATATCCCTATACACCACCCAATGCTGAGATTTTATTATTTAATTCGTTTTTTTTTATTACTTTTTTTTTTTTGTAAAAAGAAGGATGACTGCACACAGGGCAGCTCTGTGCCTGAGGCTGGACTGCAGGGTGAGCGTTACAGTGGCCACACGGTGAAAATGTTTAGTTCTCCTTCTTGGCCTCCGTGTTGCCGTAGCTGGATCCTGTCTTCTTCACTTCGGTTACACCGATGAGCCGACGAACTGCTACAGAAGCTGCGGAGAGAGAAACGGTGACAGGGAAGTCACATCAGTTGAGGGATAAAGAATAAACTAGTGAAATCAACTCTGACCCTTATCTCATTCACGTTTTAATCTTATGTTCTTTTACAGTATGCAATTTTACCTCATAGACTTGCAGATTACTTTTGTATTTTGGTGCACACTGAAGGTTATTACTTTTAATAGTAAATAGCTTTTAGTTTGTGCCATAGTCAAACATGGCAAAACCACCCAATCAATGAATGGTTGTGAGAGGAAGTAAATAAATTAAAAAATAAACTACTTCAAACTAGTGATGCACCATAATTTTGGGAACTGAAAATATTTGTCAGAGAGAGGGAGAAAAAAAAAAAAAAATTGGTTTCGGCCAAAATATTTTTCAGCTAAAACCATGGATCAAAACATCACTAAGTGCCTCCCCAATGGCATGTTTTGACTGTGTCTGTTTCATGCATACATCTTGGATAAGCTACAACAAGTAAACATGTCAGCTTTTGTGGATGCACTTTATCATGACCAAAAATTATGCTAAAGCAATACGCAAAATTTGTTTGCCTAAAATACTTGATATATACACTAACATCAGGTTTATTATCATCAGAGTATACAACACTCTGAACAGCAGACGGAGTTTAATTACACAAATTTTACTACCCAAATTTTATTTTCAAGTTTTGGTTTTCAGCTAAACGTCAAATTTAATTTTGAATTCTGTGTTTCAGTAAAAAATCATTTTGGTGCTTAAATGTGTGTTTGTACTGAAAGCTAATTTTGTCATCTTAAATGTACACAACCACATAGATATCTACGCTAACAGATATGGATTAATAGCACTTGCAATCTACAATTCATGGGGTTTTTATGAATAATCTACAAAACTTCAAACCACTATGACAGCACATGAAGGAAACAACGACTGACCGACAATGAGGAAGATCATAAAGCCAATGATGAGGAGGGGAGAGCCACTGACAAAGACGTCCCAGGCAAAGTTAATAAGCGGAGAAAGCAGGAGAGTAGCCCAACACAGGAAGTTCAGCAGTGTCCAAATTCGACGTTTGGGTTTGATGGTGGGGCCGGGGAAACAGCCCTCCTTCTCATAGTGTTCTTGTAATGCATCCTTGAAAGACAGAGATGTGGGAAGAATTGCAGCACACATCAATCCAATAAATCAGATATAAAAGTTCAAATAAAGCAATTAAACTCAAAAAGGCCAGTTCATCTGAAGCCTGAGCTTTATACTTTCTCTTGGTAGAGCTTATGTAACCAGGCAGCACACTCCTTCTCATCATCAGGAATCTCCTCCACAGGGAAGCGCCTGCCAACAGAACAGTGAGGGGTCAGAGCAGCACATGACAGACTCCAATAGAGGGCGCTGTAACCGCAAGCAGCACAGCAGAGGATGAGTTTAGCTAGGTACAGATCCTCTTAGTTACAACCTTAATCCAAATATTTAAGGAGATCTCAGGTCAGCAGTAAGACACAAAACCTGGACACTCACAGTCATTCATCATAATATATCCACCTTCAATTCAAATCTCATGTCAGATTTTGGAAGTAAAGCAGCTAATCTATTAAACAAATTAAAATATAGTGAACTTCAGCTCTGACTTACCTGATGCT